TCTCTCTCTCTATATATATATATATATATATATATATATATATATATATATACGTATGTATGTGTGTGTGTGTTTTGTGTATTTAATAGGCCAGTTAATGAAATTTGAGGATTAAAAAGACAACTAAATGTTAAAAATATTGTCAATAAGACTAATAATATTCACGAAGAGAAAGATTTTAGAGTCGGAATTTTCGGACACGCCTGTGTCCTTTATCAACGAAACGAGAAATAAACAATGAATTGGGATTCTCTTTTCTAGGAAATTTGTTGCTTTGTTTATTTTATTTTTTTTTTTTTTTTTTCGTGTGTTGTATTACTGTAAGAAAATTGATAGAGTTGTGGGCGGTTTGTAGAAGACTTCCTGAAGAAACTGTATTCTCCGAGTAAACTTAGGTTTACTCCCTGTTTTATCAGATAATACGTGATTCTATTTTGAAAATGTATTTTAAATCAACTCCTGCCCGTTCCTGTTGGCACTTAAACGTAGACGCTAAAAGCACGCATCTGACATTAGGGAATACAGGGAAATTGATGTTCTTTTTGATGGCTTTTTTTATGGTTATTGAACCGAAGACGGAATTCCGTACCTATTTCGCCGTCATTTACATTTGTTGCCAAAAAGTAAATATAGAATATGTGAACACTGTATGAGGATCATTATCAGAATAGCGTTTTTCAAACGGTGCGCCCGGGCGTACTAATGCGACCTGAAAGGTAGCTAGGTTCGCCCCAAGTTAACAGAAGAGTAATTTATGAATTATTTTCATATTTAAAAATATATTTATTTTTTGGAAACCAAGCAATGTAATGTCTTTAAAATAAATGCTTATTTCAGGAGATTTCTTTATTATTCTCATATTTCGGGACTTATTTTTCCTTATTAAAATTTAAACTGCGCCCCAGAGTTTTAGTTATTCAACAAATAAGCCCTGAAGCTAAAAAGGTTGAGGAACAATGGTTTAACATAGAAAATGCATTCGAATTTATGCTAGGTCACATGCTAGGCCATAAAAATCTCCTGAGCCGATCAAGCATAGAAATAAATACAATATGGGAACCAGTAATAAGGAGTGCCAGAGAAAAGCAATGATAACAACATAGTTGCAATATGAGCTCTGGTAAAAAAAACATGCAATGATAACAGCAAAATTGCAATATGAGCACTGCTAAAAATGGTTGCTGAAGACATTAGGTTTATAATACCCAGATGTCCTCAAGCACACATGACACAGTGGATAAAGGCGTTGGTTAGATCCAGTGACAGGACCCAAAGAGTGTGAGTTCAATACCCGGTTAAGGCAGTGGAGAACTTTCAAAGGAAAATTAACAGGAGATAACTGATAACTGACATCCATGAAACATGGCACGCGGAACTAGTACAATCTACCCCGGTGAGCGAAATAAAGGGTTCAGTTCGACATTCCAACCACCTGAAGTAGGCCGGAGCGTACAACGGCCGAAACGTTGTGATAAATATGGCGACACAGATGAGGACAATAGTCTGAATAATGTAAATAATGTACATAATACCTCATCTCAGAAATATAGACAGACTCGAATTTAATTATGAAACAGAAATGATCAACACGTGTTTTTTCCTTAATCTCTCTCTCTCTTTCTCTCTCTCTCTCTCTCTCTCTCTCTCTCTCTCTCTCTCTCTCTCTTTCTGTCTAAACATTAGATTTTACAAGCTCTTATTTTTATAATTGTTTTGACCCTGAAAGCCACCGACGATTCGATACTCTTACTCAGATCATCGTTGAATATTCTTGTCTTTCAAATGACCTCTTGTATTGAATTTCATTGAAGCAATTTTCTTTTCGTCATATTCTATAGATTCTTTATTGGATTGACGTCTGGTTTGTTATGCAGTCATTCCGAAAAATCTGGAAATCATCGATGCTGCAAATCTTTTACACAGATTATTATTGGTATCTTGTGTCCCGATTATATTTATTACTTCTTTCCGATTATCATTTGAAGCAATTTGGCTTTTCATAATCTTCCACAGATTTTCTATCGGATTGATATTTGCAGTGTTGGGTGGCCATTCCAAGTGGTCCAGAAACCATCTTTTTCAATGCATCATCCTGCATACAATTGGTGCTGCTTCTTCTGTTGAAAGTAAAGGAATTTTCTTTGCAAATATAAACTTTTCAAATTAGGTTAACACATATTTCTTATTTTGTAAGTATTGTGAACACAGTAAAAGAATGCAATATTCTTAAATTGCTAACAATATTTTCATGATTTTTGGCTGGTGTTCCCAAACTTTTACAAGACACGATATTACTAGATAGATAGATAGATAGATAGATAGATAGATAGATAGATAGATAAAGAGAGAAAAAGATGAAAATAAAAAACAAGATTGAAAGAGAAAAAGATGAACATAGATAGATAGATAGATAGATAGATAGATAGATAGATCTTATGCAACCCTGTGAGATTATGATTTTCTTTTTTTCCTTCTCCTTCTCCTCTTTCTACCCACCCCCCACCCCCACCCCGCTTTCCTTATAAGGAGAGCCTTCATCCTTACGCGCATCCTAATATTCATCATTAGAATAATCGTTAATATTATCATTAAGATTATTATCAAATCGAAAGAGTTTAATTCTATTACAAGTGGCCCGGGAACTAAAAAGAATATATTAAATTACCATTAAACGGTAATGTAATTTGCCAAATACTTGTGGCATACACGGACTGTCGCTAAAAAGAGTTAAACAAGCGTCCACATATCATCCACTAAATGCGATGAGTTTCAGCTTCCGGTCGAACAATTTGGGTCATAATGAAGTTTCACATTTAGATGACAAAACTGTTTCATACCCATCGAAATACAAGAGACCCGACCAGAATATGGACAATGCATATTGACTGTTGGCCCACCACATAAAGAATTAGCCATCTCTATTTGATTGGCTCTGATAAATAAAACTACCTGTTTAATCAATCGAAAAGTATATATCAATTTGGGAGGATAGAATATTTTTCATCTGAAAAACCGGCGCACGTATTGACACCCCAACACACAAATGCACGCACGCACACTCACACACACACACACACACACACGCACACACACACACACACACATATATATATATATATATATATATATATATATATATATATACATATATATTTCTAATGACTCGGCTTTCATTATATAAATATATATATATATATATGTTCATATCTATCTCCATCTTTCACTCTCTTTATCTATCTATGCTCATCTTTCACTCTCTTTATCTATCTACCTTTATCTTTTACTCTCTTTATCTATCTATTTATCTATCTTCATCTCTTACTCTCTTTATATATTTCCCACCGTCATAAGATTGCCTCTCTGTGCCTTTTCTATAAATACTTTCATGGTAATTGTTTGGATGAGGATTTCGCTATGGTACTTAAACTTTTTTTTAATTTAAGCTCCATACAGACTGGCGTCGAAATCTCAATTTACACTTGAGCTGGCTAGATGTAACCATAAATTCTATGCTAACTGTTTCTTTTCTCGCATTCTCGCTTATGGAACTCCCTTCCGGCTCCATGCTTTCCAGCCAACATTTTAAACGCAATGTCAATCGCTATCTACTGTCCTCCTGGTTAACTTTCCTCTTCTCACTCATTATTAATATTTCTGTTCTTAAATCTTCCACACTTTGTAACCCCTCGAATCTTACTGGCTGTACTGCCTTGCATGGGGTGTACCGATTAAAAAAATATATCAATATATATATACTCTAAGAGAAACGTTACTGGGTAGATACACATGTTTAAATAGACCCCCTGATTTTTTTAGCCTTGTGAATTAAATCTACGGTAGAGTAATGGATTGTGGCTCGGATTGAGGAATTGCAGACCCGAGTTCGAATTCCAGCTGAATTCATTACATATTGGGAAAGGTATGAATCCAACTCTTCTCCCCATCCCCCAACTATGGGTAAATAGTAGGACAGACTGGGTTCTATAGCCTTGGGTGGCAACTAGTCTACCGCTGAAAGAAATGGCAACCTACCACGGAAAAATCTTCTGCCTAGTCAGTCATGACTCGAAAGAGACATGATTGCCCAAGCGTGTATGGCACTTAACTTGCTCACTGACCTCCGCATTCAGGAGACTTAATAAAGAAAATATACTCTCCAGAAGGGGTGGAAACTGCGCCCTATTTTGTAAGCGAAACCTGGTGTGCTTTAGACCACTAGGTCATAGAAAGCACCATAGTCCAGCAAGGTTCAATTACCCTTTTGAAGAAAGCACTCTCCTCTCGTTTAGGACTTCTCGAAAGCCCATAAATGCTCTTTTTGTCTTATCCAACCTGTAAAGTAATTTGTATGGAATCTATGTATTTTTTTATCCGACATTATTTCCTATAATTTCAAACATTATTTTGTGGATGCCCATGTTTGAGTAGACGCCTTGTTTTTGTTTTTTTATTTTGTTTTTTTGCATGATTTTCTGTTGTTTTTTTAACTGTGTAAATTACGTCTACTGGCCTCCGCATTCGAAAGACTTAATAAAAAAAATGTCTTGTGTGTGTATCTTCGTCGGAGATGTGTGAGAGAATGCCCTTTCCGCTCTAGGGCTGGGTCGTGTCTATATAACACTGTGTGTTGAATCTTTTTAAATGCCAGCAAAACTTGGAAGTAAGGGTGAGGTTACTTGCTTCCTCATTCGGCAAACAGGAGTGGTCCCAGGTCAAATCGACAATGTACCTGACTTCTTTGATTGTCTGCTGTGAATTGTGTGCAATCTCTGTCATACTATAGTAAGAACCAAAATTCCCAGTACTAGCAAATTAATCTTCATGCTGAGCGTGCTAAACATAGACGTCGTAAACAACCTTAAATTTACTCCAATCTTGGTGAACGATTGTCACCTCAATGAGGGTCCTTGCCTTGAATGTCTATAGGAACACCAGATCTGAAGATACAGGAAAATAGTCGGTTCTTTGTACCACTCCCAAAAGTACCTGGCTCCCACGGCTTACGGCCACATCACGTTGAAACATTGGTTACCGTACAATCACCGAAGTTAAGCAACGTCGAAACTGGTTAGTACTTAAATGGGTGACCGCTTGGAAATACCAGATGCTGTAAGCTTGGATGTGCGGGTGGTGTAATGGATAATGTCCCACCGAGTTCCGATTCCAATTCGTTATATTCACTTACGCGCAAATATTCATGGGGAGGGTATGAATACAGCTCTTCTCCCCGACAGCTATGGGTTAATTAGTTAGACTTGTATCGTTAAACCATTATTTTCTCCAAAGAAAATAATAAAATTGCGGACAAAATATTTAGATTTCTGGCATTAAATAATCCAATGCCTCTAGAATAAATATAACTAACCAACCTGACTCCTACTACCACGCACGATCTTTACAAGAGTCAAATCAGACCAAAAATGGAGTATTGCTGGATTGGAGATGCTCAGTCCTCACTGACCATTCTTGACAGAGTTCAGAAAATTACACTGCCTTGTGAGTGACGAATTATTTTCCATTCTGCAACCACTTTCCCATAGACAAAATATTGTTGGCCTCTCGCTATTTCCAAACGTTCAGACGAGCTATATTTTTTTTAGTTTTACCAGTTCAGACCTTCAAAGCAAGCACCCGTCATGCCACGTACACAGGGCCATCTTATCCTTATTCCCTTTGTACGCCATTGTTAACGAAGAAACTCCACTCTGTCAGCTTCCCCGATTAGTACGATGTTAACCCTTTCAAATCTAGAGTCGGTCGTTATTTATCCTACATAGTCTTTATAATATGTACTTCTGACTACCCCCCTACACACACACACACTTTAAAGAACCTCATTCAGCAACTTTCTACCTTGAGTGGCTCTTGGGCATTGTTTTGGGTGTAAAATAGTATTAAAAACAATTTAGATGAAAGAACGCCTACCCAGAATAATGAACTCTGGAAAGCCTGACTTTAATCTGAGCTCAAAATCCGAGCTTTTTATTGGGGAGAGGGGTGTAATTAGTTCTGCCATTTTACAAGTCTCGTAAATAGACGCCTATTTCACCTACTAAGTATATTTCATTTTGGATGTAATATGTATTTATTTGAAAAACATTTCAGTAGTGAAAATAAAAATCTAAGATTTTCATGCGACTTACTAACAAAAGACTGTCTGTTCGCTTTTTAATTAAATATCAACCGAAAAATGAAACAAAAAATAGTTTTGTATAAAGTGGGGTGGGGGACAATAAATGTGAGAAAATCTTATAAACATATTGACATTTCTAAAACGATGCGCTGAAATTCAATAAGAAGAATTTTTTTTTTAAATTTCAAATTCGTTTTTGAAAGGAAGCAAAAAGAAAGAAAGAAAGAAAGAAAGAAAGAAAGAAAGACAAAAGTGAACAGAAAGAAGAAAGTAAAACAGAAGTGAACAAAGGGAAGAAAGAAAGAAATGAAAAAGAAAGAAAGAAAGAAAAGAAAGAAAGAAATGAAAAAGAAAGAAATAAAGAAAAAACGAAGTTAATAAGGATGAGAAAGAAATGAAAAAGTGAAGAAAAAAGGAAGTGAAGAAATAGAAGAAAGAAAGAAAATACAGAAGTAAAGAAAGAGAAGATAGAATAAAATGAAAAAGCGAATAACAAAATAAACAAAGAAGAGAATGAAGTGAACAAATAAATAAAGAAAGAAAGAAAGAAAGAAAGAAAGTAGTTAATAGAGATGAAAGAAAAATGAAAAGGAGAATAAAGAAATGAACAAAAAGTAAGAGAAAAAGAAAGAAAAAAGAAATGAACAAGAATTAAGTGAATAAAGATAAGAAAGAAAGAAATGAAAAAAGAAAAGAAAGAAGTGAACAAAAAAAGAAAGAAAGAAAGAATGAAGTGAATAAGGAGAAAAAAATCAAAAGAAATGAAAAATGGAATGAAAAGTAGAAAGAAAGAAAGAAAGAAAGAAAGAAAGAAAAAGAAAGAAAGAAAGGCACAAAGCAAATAAAAAAAAAAGAAAAGAAAGAACGAAGTGAATAAGGAGAAAAAATCAAAAGAAATGAAAAATGGAAGGAAAAGTAGAAAGAAAGAAAGAAAGAAAGAAAGAAAGAAAGAAAAAGAAAGAAAGAAAAAAAAAAGAAAGGCAGCAAGCAAAGAAAAAAGAAAGAAAGAAAGAACGAAGTGAATAAGGAGAAAAAAAATCAAAAGAAATGAAAAATGGAATGAAAAGTAGAAAGAAAGAAAGAAAGAAAGAAAAAAAAAAAAAAAAAGAAAGAAAAAAGAAAGAAAGAAAGAAGGAGAAAAAAAGAAAAAAAATGAAAAAAAGAAAAAATCAAAAGAAATGAAAAATGGAAGGAAAAGTAGAAAAAAGAAAGAAAGAAAGAAAAAAAAGAAAGAAATGAAAAGAAAAAGAAAAACGAAAATCAAAAAAATCAAAAGAAAAATGAAAAAAAGAAAAGAAAGAAAGAAAGAAAGCAAAAGAAAAAAAAGAAAAAAGAAAAAAGAAAAGAAAAGAAAAAGGTTGCTGCTGGACATTGTGTATCGTAGGCTAAATGTTAGCGATACAAACAATCACCTCTTCGAAAGACGTTCAAATTCTAACCGTTTCATTTTGTTTTTGTTTTTTATTTTTTGTTTTGTTTCTTTCTCAAGTGCAATCTTAGTCTGGGATATCCAATATATACAAAGCTACCAACCGATTATATATATATATATATATATATATATATATATATATATATATATATATATACCCAACTTTTCCAGATCTGAAAAAAAAATAACTACCGTACGATTTAACGCCCATGACGTACAAAGATCAAAGGCATAATCACAAATTGCTTCATTTAACACCATTTGAAGATGGATAAAGAGACCGAACAAAATCAATAAATCATTTCAAAGACAGCGATAGGATGTTGATAGCATAAATTATACAAGAGCAGAAGTTACTGGTAGAATATGATTTGAAAATAAACGTTTCTTTATCGAACTCCAAAGTCACTCAATGGCAACAGAGATACTGTCGTTCGAGATGTTATTCATATTAACAGCGCTCTGGGCACTTAGACGTGGTGTAATGGTTAGCAAGCTTGTCTCGCTAGATCACTTACGACTCAGTTCGATCTTCATTTGGTGCCCCATACTTTCGATCTTGTGCTACATCTAAGATCCGCTTAGAAAACCACCATATTAACAGAGTTTAGTCCATTACACATGCCGTTCTGCGAATCCTGCTGATACCATACAACCCAGCTCTATTGGGTCATCGGCGACTAAACAAGAAAAATAAATATCGATAAATATTTCTTTTCTTAAGAAAATGGATAAATTTCAACCGCCCCAGTAGAAAAATTATCTGGATACAGTACAAGTCACTGAAAATGTATGATACTTAACCTCTTCATAAAATTACCTAAGTATAGTACGACCCCCTATTTTTTGTTTAAAAAGTGATCATAACAACTCACACTATACTCGAAAATATAAGGTAATAGAAGTTCCCCAATGGCTAAACAGAACCGCATGAAAACAAGTATTAACAATGTGCGGAGGACAAAATGAAGACAAAGAGCAAGTTTCCAAAAAAGGGGACTTTATGTAATTAATGTTCTTTGACTCCGAACATGTTAACGATACTATCGGTTTCTCTTCTTTTACGACTCTAAGTGCCATGTTGGTAACTGGTTTTCTTCATTCTCCAAAATCCTGGAAGTCTTTCACTCATCCAGAAAAAAAATGAAAAAAAAATAACAACACAGATTCTGATCCCAACTTTTTGCTTCCTATCTGTAAAATTAGCATTTTATTGTCAAGAGCCACAGTGTAGTTGATGATAGCGTCACATCGCCGGCCTCTAGGTTTTATTGATTGATTAGTTTTTGCGGCTTGTCAACCGATTTCAAGTTATTTAAAGCCAGAAAATATTTTTAGATTAAAAGAATTTTTTTTAGATAATAAGGGTTTAGTAATAAAGTCTTACTATTTAACCTATAGCTAGGGGAGATTTGGTGGATTCATACCTTCTCAAGGGCATTTGCGCGTAAGTGAATATAACGAACCCAACTAGAGTTGGAACTCGGCTCTCCGATTAACAATTCCCAGCCGTTTTCCATTACACCACCAGCACATCCAAATTTACAGCACCTGGTTTTCTTAATTGGTCAACCATCTAGGTACTGAATCTGGCTTGACTTTGCTTAACTTCGCACGCGACTGGGTGTTTCAACGAGATATAGCCGTAAGCCTACAGGTTTTATCTATCTACATAGTTGTTTCTGTGTTTTAGTTGAAAATGTCATCTTCAGGATTTATTTTCTTTATCTACGCCCCCCCTCCCAAAAAAAATCATATATTTCGGTTTTTGCGCAGATTTGTCTACAATAATCCGACATATTCCAGAGATCTATAATTACTGCCTTCAGCTTCTGATAGGTCTGGTGGGGGAAATCAGGACTTGGATTTTCCCCCTGCTATCAACATTTCGCCATAACGAATTTCTGGCCACGCCACCCTTCCTTTAAAGAGATGGGTTCTACTTCAGTCGGGTATTAACAAAAGAGACCACAACATTTATTTCATATGATATCCCGAGCATGTCTCACTTACATCAGCATCAGTAATAAACAGTGAAAAAGAGAGAGAGAGACTATGCATGATATCAAATCTCTGAGCAAACACCAGGTCCTCAAGAGAATGGTGGTATACGTTGAAAAGCGATAAGCTGAAAGATTAAAAAGATAATTAATCTTGCCAAAGGTCTAGATACCCAACCCATGCATTTCAAAATAACCATTTTTCCGCCCGAATTGGACATACCGTGATACTTATGTTAGTAGGTAATTCAGCCCGGAGTAGCGATTATTTGAACAGTGGGAGGTGTCGACCTTTGCAATGACGTGTTATAAAAATTCTGATTGCATGTGGATTTATGTTTACTGCGAACCTTTCCTAATCAATCTTCTTTTGACGAAGAAGATAATAGAAAAGCTGTAGCAAGAATGGCTGGATGCACAATGTATTTCCAACTGATGAGGGGTGTTGTCAGAAATAACTTGTTGGGGAGGAGGCACGTAGGGTTGGTGCAGATGGCTGTAAGAGATACTCAGTCAATATGCATACGTATGTACTTGTTAGCATGAGTACATAGATAGATAGATAGATAGATAGATAGATAGATAGATATGAACAGACTGAGATAGATAGATACGAACAGACATGGATAATGAACAGGCAGACATAGATAGATAGATAGATAGATAGATAGATAGATAGATAGATTAGCATAGATAGATAGATAGATAGATAGATTAGCATAGATAGATAGATAGATAGATAGATAGATAGATATGAACAGACTGAGATAGATAGATAGATAGATAGATAGATAGAAACAGAAAGATTAGCATAGATAGATAGATAGATAGATAGATATGAACAGACTTAGATAGATAGATAGATAGATAGATAGATAGATAGATAGATAGATAGATGATAGATAGATAGATGAGATAGATATGAACAGACTGAGATAGATAGATAGATAGATAGATAGAAACAGAAAGATTAGCATAGATAGATAGATAGATAGATATGAACAGACTGAGATAGATAGATGGATAGATAGATAGATAGATAGATAGATAGAATGTATGATATATGAACAGACTGAGATAGATAGATAGATAGATGGATAGATGGATGATAGATATGAATAGATATGAACAGAGATAGATAGATACGAACAGACATAGATAATGAACAGGCAGACATAGATAGATAGATAGATAGATAGATAGATAGATAGATAGATAGATAGATAGATAGATAGATAGAAACAGAGATAGATAGATAGATAGATAGATAGATAGATAGATAGATAGAAACAGAAAGATTAGCATGGATAGATGGACAGATAGATGGATGGATAGATAGATGTGATGTGACTGAGATGAGATAGATAGATAGATAGATAGATAGATGGATAGATGGATAGATAGAAACAGAGAAAGATTAGCATAGATAGATAGATAGATAGATAGATAGATAGATAGATAGATAGATATGAACAGACTGAGATAGATAGATAGATAGATAGATAGATAGATAGATAGATAGATACGAACAGACATAGATAATGAACAGGCAGACATAGATAGATAGAAACAGAGAAAGATTAGCACAGATAGATAGATAGATAGATAGATAGATAGATAGATAGATAGATAGATTGATTGATTTTCCTGTCGTTTTCGGTGTATGAGAGTTCAACTTAATGCTTTGTCGTTAATACCCTATTTGTATTTTTGCCAGTGATCACAAGTAGGCATACATTTCCAGAGTTCAAAGCGCTTACACGGCCATGTAAGTGACTAATTATTTTTCACCCTGCAATCCCCTTCCTAGAGAACAGTCCCCTGACCACTACAATCTTAACTTCCTCAAGTTTAGTCAACCGTTATCTATCTTACGTATCCTCATAATCTACATTTCTAAAAAAAATCGACCCATTTAATAACCCTCTACTTTGAGTGCCTCTTGAGAATAGCGTAATGGCTAGCCGTTAGTATCCAAGTATGCCTGCTTGCTCAGGCGCATTCATGTTTGTTCAACAGCCACAGAGCCCACCTGTGACTTATACTGCAACTATTCTGAGTGGACCTTAGTTAGAGGTTCTGGGAGAAAGCGCATGATCTGGCGGGATCAAAAGTCTGAACAAGGCCAGTACGCTCAAACCTTGATCACGATGACTAACAACCCCGTGCTTGCTCAACGACCAACAACAGCCAAATAGTTCCGTGTACCCAATTTCACTCACAAGGCTTGGGTCAACCAGTGGTACGATTTCCAGACACTTTACCGCACACTGGAATCGCTTCTACTTTCCGATAACATCAAAAAGACACTTCCCTGATAAATCGACCGTAATGAACCTGGGTCTCATGGTTGTAAAGCGAACGTGTTAACAACTCGACCACATATCCATCACATATATATATATATATATATATATATATATATATATATATATATATATATATATATATATATATATATATACGACTCCGTTGAATTCGACGTATGGGGGTCAAACAGACCAGTTCCTAGGAGTCGACAGCCCGGATACAAAGACTAGGGGTCCCCAAACGAACCTCCGCAGGTTTTGAATTCAGTGTTGCCATCCAAGGCTATAGAACTCAGTCTATTTACTATTTATTTTAGCTGGAGAAAGAAGAAGAGGATTAATACCTTTCCTAAGAGTATTAGCACGTAAGTGAATGGATTCGACTGTATTTCGAATTCGGCACTCCAAATCGCTATCCATTATTTCACTGTGCCTCCTTAATATATATATATATATATATATATATATTTAATAGTTTTGTTATATAACATTGAGCACGGTTTTTATAACGCATGAGAAAAAAAATATATATCTACGTGCAAGTTTAAATATATTTTTATTACACCCATATTTACTTATCTATCTATCTATCTATCTATCTATATCTATATATGTGTGTGTGTGTGTGTGTGTGTGTGTGTGTTTATGACACGTTATTTAGCTTTTGCTGTACCGCGAATTGCGATTTTAGGCGATCACACAATCCTTTCCATCATACAATGTACTTTAAGTCCAAGTTGACACAAAATAGCGCTCAACAATAAGACGTGTATATATCAAACGGTCAGTGCTCAATGCTAAATATAAAATAAAAGATCCAGTAAAGTATATTTTTTTAATATATATATATATATATATATATATATATATATATATATATATATATATATATATATATAAAAAAAAAACAGACCACTTTAAGGTACTATTATAATAATTTATTTCACCAGAGCCCTTTTAAAGGACGACGGATCATCAGATAGCACTTCCAAAATATGAAACGAAAAACATTTTGGAAGTGCTATCTGATCATCCGTCGTCCTTTAAAAGGGCTCTGGTGAAATAAATTACTATAATGGTACCTTAAATTGGTCTGTTTTTCTTTTAAATATTAGCTCTGGATTTACATTGAGCTCTCAGGATTTCATCCTCCTTGGGATTACCCATACGGATTACCAAGTTCTTCATAACTTAAATATATATATATATATATATATATATATATATATATATACCTTTCTGATCTTAGTTCAACATTTAGTTAAACAACATTTCTTAGAAAAAAACATAACCATGTACATAATATTAGACAAATATTAGTTGATAACACAATAATAGTCACACATACACACACAATGGCGGCCATCTACATTGAAACAAAGCAACCCACAATTTAACAAAATTACGTTTAAAACTAGTCACAACACATTACATTGCATCTAGACATATGGTTCTGTTATTAATATTTCGTTTTCTCACGAGGTACAACGTCATAGAACCGCATCATGAATTTAAGACCTGCGTCTACTATTCTGCGACCGTTATCGTCGTATAGCAATCTTCTATGTCAACATAACAGAATGTCATCTTTGATGGCGAATATCTTTGTTTAAATGTCCGCATCAACACTCTGAAGATGGTTCATGGGAGCCGAAATCTTAGATCAAGGAACAGCATGATAAAAAATATCCAAATGTTGGACAATTTATGTCTTTATTTTTCCCTGAAATTAAAGCAAATGTACGAAGTTTAGAATGGCTGATGACCAAACATAACAGACATTCGTTGTCTGCTATATTTCACAATATATGATTCAATAATAATCTGCTGCCCAATACACTATATATATATATATATATATATATATATATATATATATATATATAAACAGCAATCCTTACTTTATGCATGTTTCATTAAAAACGACAGACAAGGTAATACGGTTGAGCTTTTTATTTAATTTTTCTTGTGTTCTGACAAGAGCTTTCTTTTCTGGACAAAGGGTGTGTAAGAACTGTCCGAATGTTCTGCATTTCCGAGCGCTTTCGGCTATACCTTTAGCCATTATCAAGGATGATTCGATTATCAGCTTAGTAGAGTGTGTGTGTTCTGTGTATGTTCAGTGTGTGGTAGTGATGTTTTTAGTTTCCGAATACGGTTAGCACATTGTGGCTTTGTTCATAGTTAATACTGTTAAGAGTTGGCTTTTTCTTTTTTTTTATTATTAGAGCTTCCATTATTTTTAGTCTTTTTTTTTGCAAGTGGATGCAGTTAATATATTTGTGTTTTCTACTAGTATGTTCCTAATAGTGTCAGGTAAATCTGAGTGTGTGTTTAAATGTGTTCTGATGGAACTGTGATCAGATAGGTGGAATGTAAGACGTCTGGATAAACATGTGGTTGTGTTGCCGATGTAATTATTTATGAGTCCGGTTTGGTGAGGAACGCAGTTCCTTAAAGAACATTGAACTCATAGATAATGTTCGTTCTTTGTAATTTTGACTTAGTTGGTGTGTTGTTATTTTTGAGGATAAGGTTGGCCGTCTTAAATTTTTTATAATAGATAATAAGTTTGATTTTTTTATTCGGATCAATAGGAGTAGTATATTTCTTTATAATATGCCTTATATATAATTGCGTAATTGGGCAGCAATCCCTCTGTTATACAATTTCATTAATGACGACTGACAAGGTAATGCGATTAAACTTTTTATACAATTTTCTTCTGTTCGTATAAATGTTTTCATTTTTGGACATAAAGTGTGTAAAAACTGTCCAAATATTCTATATACTCGAGCACTTACAGCTATTCTATTATCAAGGATGTTTTCTTGTCTGTTTTTTTAACTGAAAATGTAGATTTTTATATATCTGCATCTATCATGATAGGAATGTTTTTTCTATTTTCCAAACACGGTCAGCACATTGTGGTCGTGTTCATAATTGATATTATTGAATGTTGGCTTTTTCTTTTTTATCATTAATGCTTCCATTATCTTTAGCCTCTTTTACATGTGGATGAGGCTAGAGTCGTATTTTCTACGACTATGTTGTTGAAGGCTTTTGCTAGGTTTGCGTGTGCGTTTAAATGGAGCTTAATTGAGCTATGGTCAGAAAGATGTAACGTGAGTCTTCTTGATAGGCATGTAGTGGTATGTCCAATATAATCATTCATGAATTTCGTTTGATCAATAAAACTTCTATTAGCTATAGTCAAGGATGTTATGGAAAATACAATCATAATAAGCTCATCAACATGCAAAAAAACGCTTAAAAATAATGGAAGCGTTAATAGTAATAAAAAGAAATCAAATTACAATATCAATTACGATCACGCCCACGAATGCTGACTGTGTACGGAAATTAAGAACATTCCCATGCTTACACACACACACACACACACATATACATACACACACACACACACATATATATATATATATATATATATATATATATATATATATATATATATATATATATATATATATATAGTAATGATACAATATGGTAACAGTATGGAATTTCCAGGAGGATATAGATCCAGGGAGAGCATTATGTCGAAAGACAGACAAATTTATTATTAATTAAAGAATATCAAACACTTAAAATCCTGTAGGTAATAATTTTTATTTCGTGAAAGCTCAAAAAAGTAGCACTTAATCTTCAAGAACTACAAACAATTCACAAATTTGTGATTTGTTTTTGGGTCTTGAAAATTAAGAGCTGCTTTTTTAGACCTCTCATGAAATAATCCTATGGGATTTTAAGCGTCTGATGTTCTTTAATTAATAATAATATATATATATATATATATATATATATATATTATTTTTTTTTATTAAAAAATTTATAACACAAATATGTTATAAATTTGTTATATATATATATATATATATATATTCAGTTAAACAAATAAATCCTTCGGAATGGCTAATAGATTAGTCGAAAGCACTCGGATCTATGGATCATTTAAACAGTTTTTAAACACGCTATGTCCAGAAAAAATCACTTGTATGAATGCAAGAAAGACTTAATAAAAAGCTTCATCACAGTATCTTCTCAGTTGTTTTCAGTGAAACATGTATAAAAGGGAGGGGGGGAGTGTTACCCTAATAGACAATTATCCTTTGGTCATTATTCATATATATATATATATATATATATATATATATATATATATATATAAAAAAAAAACAGACCATTTTAGGTGCCATTATAATAATTTATTTCACCAGAGCCCTTTTAAAGGACTCTGGATCATCAGGTAGAACTTCATAAAGATGAAACGAACCGAAATGAAAGGGCTCTGGTGAAATAAATTATTACAATGGAACCTTAAAGTGGTCTGTTTTTCTTTAAAATATTAGCTCTGGATTTACATTGAGCTATCAGGATTTCATCCTCCTTGGGACTACCCATACGGATTACCAAGTTTTTCTTAAATATATATATATATATCAGTTGAATGTCTTCCACAAAAGTTGACTCCGCACGATCTGTGACTATACTTTTGACGATGGGTGTCCAATGCTGATCTTCTCACAAATGCAACATTAGTGGAATTAAGACTTTCCTGAAGCAGTCACAACTTCGTTGGGCTTGTCATATTGCAAGGATGAGTGACGACAGAATACCTAAGGTCTCTATGTACAGCCAGCTTAACAGTGGACAAAGAAATGTTGAACAACTGTACCTCGAGCAGGTTGTCTTGAATAGAAATAACTCGAGATATTTCTGCTAGTGTGATCTCAGTTATTTCGAAATTAGTCGTATTGACCGGCTAAGAGACAAAAGACAACGGCGAAAAGAATCAGCAAAAGTAGAGTTTGAATTCGTTTCCGACGGAAAAAAAATATTATTAATAATCCGACATTATTTTTATTACGCTATACTTAGCGGACACGCGTGTTTGTGTAGATATTTTTTAAGCAGTGTATACTGGCCAGAGTTTACGAGAGTAGTTAAGTGAATGCGCTCTTCGACAGGGTTTGAACTTGCGTCATTCTTATGTAGGGAAAACGGCGTATAGCCGGACTTAATTTTAAAACTGTTCAGCTACGAAATACTTTCACAGCGAAACAAAGCTTAATTGCCCATATGAAGGAAATATAATGTCTGAAGTAATTTGTTAAAATACACTGATTATTTCGAACTTGTGTCGTCATCTATAGTTCCCAAAAATGAAAACACCAGTTCAAATAAAGTGTGAGATAGATAGATAGATAGATAGATAGATAGATAGATAGATAGATAGATAGATATTAGGATAGTCAGATAGATAGATAGATAGATAATCTCACTTTATATATGCAAAGAATGTCCAAAAATAATGGTGCAAACATTCACTAATTCAATTTATTACTATATATAAAATCAACGCTACACTACAACTTTTCCACGTCGTGCTATCGTAATTTATGCCCTGGTCCTATCAATCTACGTGTGCATAGATGCACTTCTCAAAGACCATAGCATCACTTGAGTGTGGAACCGGCCTTGCACTTCTGCAAAACAGCATCCTTATCTAGGTAGAACGGCTACCCCGATAAACGGAAAACCCAGAGATAATAATCTGAAAGGCCATGGAGTGGATGCGGCAACACATTCCTGCCATATCACTGAAGCTGTGTCTGGAATAGCGTTGTCATCTGTCGAACGTCTTATTTCAGTTGGTCCTGTGTAACACAGGATATGACAGTTTTTAATTATCAGGTCTGTTAAATCCACGTGCAAGACAACATTTGCATCCCAGGACACAGCTGCTAATAATTACTCAGTCAGTTATGTGCCATGCGTGATACACGCGTGGCACATACTGAGTGAGTAATTATTAGAAGTGATAATTAAGGTGATCATGTATCTTTCGATACGATATTTGACGAGGCAGATTTTTTTCTGCAGTAGAATGCCATTTCTTTCTGCGGTAGACCAGTTGCCACAGAACCCACTCTGTCCTGCTATTTACCCATAGCTGGGGGGAGCAGAAGAGAATTCATACATTTCACAAGGGTATTAGCACGTAAGTGAAAGTAATGGATTCGACTGGAATTCGAACTCGGCTCTCCGATTCCTCAATCCGAGCCGCAAATCCTTCGTTTTTGAGTTATTAAGTTTAAAGTTTACGGTAGATTGTGCTGTTGCCATGTAGACTAGGTTACATTTGTAATTCGTGTACATTTGTGGCTAGTCTGTCTTCAGCATTAATGTGTGTAGTAGTGAATTAACTGAGAAGTGTTCCGTTTAACACTGGCAGGATATTCATATCGTGAGCAGGCATATACTATTTTTACATACGTCCACACAAATCATAATAGACGTGAGGTTGTACGGCTGTATCAGTGTGCGTTTCCAAACCTAAGGCAGCCGAGTCATCCAACCTTTGCCGTTGTTTATCGTCGTGTTTCGGAGACGTGATCCGTGGCACCACAAACTACCGATAACGAAGAACACACATTCTACAGGCAGTCGGAGAAGATCTAGGTATCAGCACACGTTAAGTGTCCCTAGCATGTCGTACATCTCATAGTACCACATGGAGAGCAGCTTCTATATCCGTATCATTTGCAACGTGAGCAGAGTCTATCGTCTTCTGATCATTCACCACAGGGGAACTTTTTGCACAAACTGCTGATCTGTTATTTGTCGCTTCAGTCTTATTTACAGATGAGTCAAAATTTGGAAGAGATGGAATAACAAATTTACACAACCAGCATTTGTGGGCGGATTGGAATCCCCATGGCACAATACAGGCTAGACACAAGCATCAGTTTACGATTAATGTGTCGGCTGAAATTCTAGGTGACTAACTGATAGATTCATATGTTCTCCCAGCAAGTTTTACAGGAGCTGTCTACAGGAACTTTATTTCGAACACACATCATGACCTACTAGATGATATACTCCTGCTATTACGACGCATGTGGTCCATACATGATGGGACTCCAGCACATTTTAGTCACATTGTTTGCGATGCAATGGCTGATATCTACCATGAAAGATGGATAAGTAGGGGAGGGTTGGTTCCATGGCCTGCATGTTTCCCAGACCTCAATCCTTTGTATTTTTATCTGTTGGGCCACCGAAAACAATTGGTTTATGCAGCAGACATTAATAATGCAGAGTCGCTTCATCAATGTGTCATGGGGGCCTGCGAAACCGTTGTGGGAATAACACTGTGTGGGAATATTTGAAAGGGTCCGCCAGTCAATGATCCGACGGTTACATGCGTGTGTAGAAGCAAGAGGATGACATTTTGAACATTGTTTATGAGTTGTTGTGTTGAGGTAGAATATGTTTATATGGACATTTTACCTTGTTTTGGCGTCAGGAATCCGCCACCAAGTTTGTAAAAGTATTTTTGATACACCCTCTCTCTCTCTCTCTCTCTCTCTCTCTCTATATATATATATATATATATATATATATATATATATATATATGAATATATATATATATATATGAATATATATATATATATATGAAAATATATATATATATATATATATATATATATATATATATATATATAGATATATATATATATATATATATATATATCAGGGGTATAAAGGGTGTGATGGGTAAATTGTCGCAATGTATTTTTAATTTCGCTTATGCGCAATATTTGTTTTGGATTTTGTCGACTGCACAGTATAGTAGGGTCAGTTGGGCACCGTCTGTGAGAAAAAGGGCAACCATGACGCAATTCACTCCGCCAGAAATTAGGAAACGGCATGTTGTACTGCTTGGCATTTGAGACGGAAGCACCAATACGAACATTTCAGAGTATTTGGGTGTCAATCTTAGAACAGTGCAGAGTATTCGGAAAGAGTTGGATGGTTCTAATAGTGATTACGAAGGCGTTTTTAGTGAAGACTAGTGATTGCGACGTTATGCCTCCATTCATCTTCCCACAGGGCCTCAGAATCAACACGGAGGCCTACATCATATGCCTTGAGGAGCTATTGCTGCTATGGGTCAAGAGGATGGCTGCTGGAAGACCTCATGTCTGGCAACAGGACTCTGCACCATGCCACACAAACAGTAGAACCCTGTCATGGCTTTCAGACAATTTCTGTGACCACATCACTCCTTACATCTGGCCACCTAACTCCGCATAGTGCAACGCACTTGCTTATTATGTGTGGGGCACTGCTGAGCAAGAGACCAATAAAAATTCTTGTAACACCAAAAATGACCTGAAGGCAAGGATTATAGCAGCATTCACCAAATTAAACAAGGAAGCCATCCAGAAGAGTTGCAGGAGATTCTGAAGTCATCTAGAGGCTGTGGTTGAAGCCAATGGCGATTTCATTGAATAAATTTACTCTTTAGTATTTTTATGTAATTTTGGTAAAGTAAATATGTTTTATTTTCCTGTTTGCGTAATTTAAACGACCATCTCACCCCCCTCTCTCTCTCTCTCTCTATCTCTATATATATATATATATATATATATATATATATATATATATATAGTTGGATTGATGTGAGCTTGTAACCCTGGGTTTCACGCTATAGTGAAATAGCGAGATAATCAGAGTCACAAACACATAAATCCAACTAAATATGTTAGCTCTATCACTGATATTGAGTGATTTCCACAAAGTTCCGCGCATATATAATATATAAATAATATATATAAAAATTGCATATTTATATATATATATATATATATATATATATATATATATATATATATATATATATATTCTCTCTCTCTCTCTCTATATATATATATATATATATAGATAGATAGACAGACAGACAGACAGATAGATAGATAGATAGATAGATAGATAGATAGATAGATATTAATATTTTATTATAATAAATTACAATAAAAAACATAATTCAGTCATAAGATTGTATTTCGTCAGACAATGGTAAATAACGCAAGGTCCAAAAAACATATATATATATATATATATATATATATATATATATATATATATATATATATGTATGTCAGTCACTTAAAATCCAATGGGTAATTTTTTTTTCATGAGGGCTTTAAAAAACAGCTCTCAATATGCAAAAAAGTTACCCTAGGTTAAAATCAGGAAATATTGCTATCTTATGTGAGTGGGAAGGATGACGTCATCACTCTCTTTGACACACGCATTATATATATATATATATATATATATATATATATATATATATATATATATATATATATATATATATTCAAACAGCTTTTTTGTTAAATAATTTAGACATATCACTCAATTTTCTAAGTCCATCAAAAATTAATCCGAACTTAAAAGGATCACAATGAAAACTATGCTTCTTAAATATACACATCTATCTATCTATCTATATATATATATATATATATATATATATATATATATATATATATATATATATATATATATATATATAACGTTATGGCCGAGTGGTTAGAACGTTCATATACTGAACCGGGTTCGATCCTCACCATTGATCAATTTTGAAGTGTTAATCCTTTTGGAAAGTGCCTGAAAACTATACCCAGGATTGACCCAAGCCTTCTGAGTGAAATTGGGTAGACGGTCGACAGGTGTGCTAGCACGAAGTCACAAGTCATCGTCGTCGAGGGCTGAGCGTGCTGGTTTTGTTCAAATTGTTGATCACACTAGATAACGCGCTCTCTCCCAGAAACTGTAAGACCTGCGCAGCATAGTTGCAGTATAAACCACAGGTGGGCTCTGTGGGTGTTGAATAATCACAAATGCGCATGAGCAAATATCTATCCTCGAATACGAGTGGCCATATATATATATATATATATATATAGTGAACATTATTACCCATGCCTGGAATTCGTCCACAACTTCTACCCTGAGATCCTTCACTTTAAATGAATTCCTAAAAAGCCCGTGAGCACAGAAGGGATAAAATGAAAGGTGAAAATTTATTGAAACTGCTCTCTTTTTTTCTGTTTCTGAACAAGAAGCTGGTGTTTTCAAATTGACTTCATCTATTTTAGAGTTAACTTCTGTTCGTCTGCTTATATCTTACTTTTTCTCGCTGTTTTTCAATTTACTTCAATTGAAAGATGACGTCATAATGCATGTAATCGAAATGAAGTTGAAATAGAAACGAGGCTCTGGAGTTGAGGAAACAGAAAAATGGAGGCAACGAAAGAAAGAAAATCAAAGAAACGTCGGGGGTAAGTGAAGAAAGTCGAATAAACAAAAAAAGAAACATTAATGCGTAAAAAGTTGGGAAGTGTCTTCTTTTGCTCTTATCTAATTTCTGCGTTGACTAATATTGTACGTGACGTCACTAATAACATGTTAGAAAGAATAAAAACAGAAACAAGGTGACGATTAGTGAGATAGAGGCGAGGAAAAAAAGACACTGAACAACAGTTTAGAGGAGAAATTGGAAAAGCAAGGGGAATAAGGAAGCTGGAAGAAGAGAGATAAACAGAAAGAAAGAGAAGAGAAAGAAATGGAAAAGAGAGCAGATGGATGAAAGAAAAAAAGAAATAAAAGAAAGAAAGAAAGAAAGAAAGAAAGAAAGAAAGAAAGAAAGAAAGACAGATGGGAAGTAGATAGAGAAAGAGGAGAGAAAATGAAAGAAAATGAGCAAGGTAGATACCAAATAAAAAGTGAAAGAAGGAATAAAAGAATAAAACGAATGAGATCAAATACAAAGAGAAAGAAAGAGAAAAGGAATAAGAGAAAGAAGGAAGTGAAAAGAAATCTGATAAAAGGGAAGAAAAGGAAGAAAATACGAAAGAATGATGGAAAAGAAGAAAAAAGAAATAAATTTTTCTCCTTTTAATTTTAAATAACAGGAATACATTTCAATTCAAAAAGAGGAAAAAAAACAACTCGTTACTGCAAATGTTGCATAATTCTTACCGAACTAGAAATTTTGTGTTCGAACCCAGGTGAAATCACAAAATTAGAATGATTTTCTTCATAGGCAGGCTCTTCACATCAAGAAAGATTGGTGTAACACAATCTTTCTCCCCAGCGCATTTCACTTTAGTTGGACTTATTACGTAAAAAGCTAGGCTTCGTACGCATCACGAAAGAAAGAAAGAAAGAAAGAAAGAAAGAAAGAAAGAAAGAAAGAAAGAAAGGAAAAGGTTTGGATAAAGAGGAACGTATAAGAAAACGCTCAGCAAATAAGAAAAACGAATTTTTGCACAGAAGAAAATGGCGTTGGTTATTAAAAGAAAATATGTGCGACAAAAGAAAAATATGACGGAAAAGAAAGTAGGAAATATATGAAATAAAAAAAATAAGAAAAGATAAAAAACGAAAAGAGAAATCCATAAACGGTAATGAAAAGAAGATAGACGCGGATGACGGCGAGAATGAGAACGAAAGAAATAACCAATGATCGAAAAGAGAAAATAAAAAAAAGAAAAGAATTCGAGAGAGGTGAAGAAGAGAACAAGAAAAGAGTGGAAAATCAAAAGCGTGAAGTTATAGGAAAGTTAGAGGTGTAGAAAGAGAAAGAACAATAAAAGAGTAGTGGGCGGCGGAGCATTTAATATTTGAAACGGGGGTGAGGGTTTGAACACAATTATATAATGGACAGATAAAGAAAGAAATAGTCGACGGAAGGGAAAGATAGCGGAGGAGGCTGTTGAGCAAAAGGAAGAGGATAGAAATGAATGTGGGAAGAAATGAAAATGGGTGTGGCATAGATTGGGAGGCGGTCTTGTGCTGAAGGGGCTGTCGATGATTGACAGATGAATTTTGATGAAGGAAAGAGAAGGAAGCATTCATACGGACGTCTTGGCGTTTCTCGGGAATTCACGTCTGTGAATATTGTTTATTTGCGTCACAGAGTTACCATAACGTGGGCAAACTCGCTCGTGCGTCGATGAATAAATGCCAATACTTGTCGGTGGAGAAACCGTATTATTCTCGCAATTAATTAATTCCAAGTTTGATCCTCACAGAGTCTTCCGAAAATATAATCTTATGCCTTACTTGAACCAATACCACTAAAAAATACAGAGACAATAAAACACGATTATTTTACTCTTACTTAACATCTAATAAAGATAGTATTCATCTCACTTACTCCTGTCAAGGTTAATAATAAGAGCAGCAGGCTTTATTTACACTATTTACATTGTTCGGGTAGGTGTCCTCATCTTTGATTCCATATTCACGACGTTTCGGCCGAATGGAATTTCGACAGCATAAAGTAGCTTTTATTTTAGAATTATGTTGAAATTTCGAACCAAACCTTTTATTTCGTCTACTGGGGTGGATTGTTCTATTTCCATGTGTCATGCCTCTTCCGGATGTCTCAGTATCAGTTATCTCCCTTTAACTCTCCAAGTTTTTGTTCGCCCCTGCTACAGCCAGGTATTGAACTCACAACTCTTTGAGTCAAATCACTGGATTACTTCAACCATCGTCTTTATCCACTGTGTCAGTACAGTACAATATATAAATAATGTAACTAATTACAATAGTTCATCTCAGAAATATAGACAGATAACAGGTTTTACATCTACTACCCACACACGTCAGGTAAAAGTCTTCCACTGACATGATGTGGAAAGATTATATTGAATCAATTTCTAGGTCTGCTGCTAGGAAGGATGGTTCAATGTTTCCTGCCAGACAATTCTTCTCGCCAGAATCTCTTTTACACATTTATCTGGTCTGGTGCTTCTGCTATGTATTTATATTTTATCAAGAATCTCTAAAGAAGAAACTGCAATGTTATTGGTTCTGACCTGGTATCTCGGCTTCAGTTACTTTCCTACCGCCATAGCTTCCCTGTGCCTTTTCTATAAACATTTTCATAGTGATTGTTCTGATGAACTTTCTTCTTTGGTACCTAGACTTTATGAATTTAAGCGCAGCTCTAGAATTGCGACAAGGTGTTATGGTCCGGTTCCTTGTACCACGGTGATAGTCCAAGGTAGAACCAATAAAGAAGAACTCGAACACGGATATGGAATAACACAGATATATTACAAACAGGAATATATACAGAGAAGTAGAAAGTGTTAGTATGAACAATCAGGTTTAGTCGTAATTGTCTGAACGCGACTCTGTTTCGGCCTGCCTCTGACTCGACTTGACTGACTCGCTCGTTCTGACTGACTGACAGACTCCTGACGGACTTCACTCCAGACTTCAAACTGAACAGTATTTAGTCATCCCCCCACCACGAGGGCATCATGTGCCACAAAGCCGCTTTAACGTGGGATCTCCGAGCCCATGGGCTCGGCCAAAAATATGCCCTTTGAACCCGTATAAACGGGTTCAGGGTCGGTTTACCTCCCTAAAAGAGACTCCGCCCTTCGGCGTAGCCTCGTTCGGGTTCCTCCCCGCCCGAAGGCAGAGAGTTGAACCGATCAGCCGGTCGCCGGACTTCGCACTGAACCCCCTGCTTCCTCTTGAGGCGCAGTATTTATTACGTATGGAATAGTCCATTATGTTATTATGGGTAAGGTCCCATAACACAAGGTCAAGTCATTTTACAATTGGAATGGCTAGATGTAACCGTAAGTTCTATGCTAACAGTTTCTCATTTGTGAAACTTTCTTCTGGGTTCTTGCTTCCTAATCAAATTTGATGTTTAAAAATTTGAATGCAATGTTAATCGTTATCTTCTGTCTTCTTAATTTCTGTTCTTTTATTGTTTACTCTCCTTAAAAGTGTGTGGTTTTTTTTACATATTATCTCACAGTCGGTAACCTCTTGCGTCTTAGTGGCTTTATTGCTTTACTTGAGTGAAATTAAAAAAAAATTAAAAAATGGTTTACTCAAGTCCTCGTTCACCTACTTTCTTCACCGTTAATCATCAGGACATATCAGTGACAAAACATTTTGGCCCTCCACAACTTCCTGTTCTTTGTAACCCTTATGCTTTCT